ATGTATATATACACATATATATTATTAAGATATGTTATATATATAGGTATATATGATATATAGGTGTATATGATACATGTATATGATATATAGGTATACACACACATACATATACACATACCTTTAATATAGGTATGTAGAAACATAGATATCTTCTTTGCTATTTCAAAATAATTTAAGAAAGAAAGAAAATAAATAAACATAGTCTGCCCTTTTCCTTTCAAACATGATGAACTTAAATTCAGAGAATAAGTGATTTGTCCAAACTCAGAAAGCTAATTAATAGGAGAAAGAAAACTAAGACACTGGGCCTTTAATTTTAATTCAAGAGCCTTTTTTAATATAAAGTCTTCAAAATATACATTTTAAGAACTTTATAGCATATAAAAATTAAATGAAAACATAATGGCCTTGAAAAAGCACTTCTAAATGACTTATATAAGTAATGCTCACAATTGAAATGTAGTGATTGTTATGGAAGCTCTCCACTTATAAAACTGGAAATGGCCTCCTTTTCTTAATAAAACCAATGCATTAGAAAGTCAATGTATAGCCTATTGATGTGCTCATTAGCAGTGGAGACTGGGTTACAGAGATCTATCAGTGGCTATTCAATGCAGGATTTCAAGTGGACATCATTGGCCCAGCCTCAGCACACCAATCTGTAGGTGTTTTACTTCTCAGTCACCCACAGTGCTCAGACTTTTATTTCTTCCAGAATTAGCTAACCTTTCCTCAGCATTTCATATTATTTTTAATCAAAAATTTCTCTTCTGTTTATCTCTAACCTGTTTATTGACCCTGATTTTATAGGCAAGACTCAGATATGACTGAAATTGAAAGCTGTGGGAGGCTGCAAAGTTGGATCGTTTTTATTGAAGTATTCAGAAGATTAACCACATGACCCTGTGATTTATAATAGCAGTTAGAAGCCAAGGAGTTTCATACAAATGGATAGATTTCACCAATACCCTCCACACAAAACTCACAAAGGCAGCCTTTTTCTACTAATCATTTTTACTAGCATTGTTATTGTTAATGGACAAATAAAAGAAAAATTACATTGAGATTAACGTGCCAGATTTTAATTCTAAACTTTTTATGTCCCAGGAGAATAAACTCGCATTATAAAAATAGGTCCAACTTTGAATAGGAAAGAGAGTACACAGTGAATAAACAAATAAGCAGTGTAATCTTCCAAAGAAGGATTTGAAATAGGAATAAAATTAAAATGACATTGGAAGATTTTAAAATGTCCTGCAAAAAAAGGATGTATGTTAGAAGAGATTACATATATTATGTATATGTATATTTGAGATTATGCTTCTCCATAAAGTAATATCACAAGTGGTCCTATGTCCCCAAGTCAGTTTATAAAGACATGGCATTTTTTTTTTTTTGAGAGGTTTTTGCCATAGGGCGCGTGCGCTCGCCAGACAGACGGAGAGAGAGACAGAGAGACAGAAAGCGAGAAATCTCTCCCCAGGGGGGATAGCCCCGCCGCAATCCCTTCTCCTCCATTCTCCTCTCAGGATCTTGGGCATGCATGCACATGCGCCTGGCGTGAGTTTTAAGCCACCAGGTCCTGGACACAAACCGTGGTCGACTACAAGGGAGTCCAGCGACATAGCCATTACGCTAACTGCTGGTCCCCAAGACATGGTACTCTTAATAAACCCAAAATTGCTTTATACAGTTATAAATTGCTTAATGATGGCGATACAGTCTGAGAAATGCATTGTTAGGTGATTTAATCATTATGTGGACATGAGAAATTGTAATTACACAAACCTAGACAGTGTAGGTACTAAACACCTAGGCTATATGGCATAGCCCATATGCTCCTTATAGGACCATCATTATATATACTTTTTGTCACATTTTGAAATGTTGTTAGGCAGAGTATGACTGTGTAAAGAAAAGACAGGAAACTACTAAAAATTAATTTATTTTCTTTTAAACATTAATGAACTATTAAGTTTATACTACATACAAAAATGAACTGAAATAGGAAGTTTTGTTTGAGCATTAATTGATGCTTAATTTTTTCTTACTTTTTGTCAATTAATATCCAGCCTACTTTCAAAAGAATCATAACAGTTTATAAGCCATATGTTTAAAAAGGATGAAATACTAATGGAATCATTTCTTGCTCAATTCTCTTCCTCTCCCACTTCTCCCAGAGAAACACATCCTGTGGAGCCCGGATTTCATTGTTCCTGTGCCATGTAGTGGTGAGACAGCAAACTGTCTAGAACTAAGTGATTACATTCCCCGTGACATTGTTCAAGGACATTCACTTATTTCTGTGAGACACCAAGTATGTCTCTGGGTTCCCTAGAGGCTGAAGAGATTTCTTTTTAATTGTGATGAGATATAAAATAAGAGGGAAATAAGAAGGGACTCTGAGAAGAAAACATATGGGCTAGATATTTAGCTCCTTGCCCTCCCTTACCTTTCTTCCATCTCTCTGGAGAATGAGGGAACAATATCAAATATATGTTTCCTGATGGATGGGGTGAACTTGAATATAGAAAGTGAGATTTGCTTTCCTTCTGGTGATTTCCAAAGCCTGATAATTCAGTATTCCATGGGATGTACCATAGAACCATAACACTTGCTTGGGTTACTATTCAGCCAAGCAGCGGAAGAACAACCCAAAAAGCCTTGGGGTGTATGTTGCTGGCAGGGTCCAAGCAGAGACGCAGCCATCCTACCATCTTTCTGCAGTGGGCAGGGCCAAGTTAAAGCTCCCCAAAAGAAACATGCAAAAAGGCCTATGATAAGATCAAACCCATCTGCCCAAACCAGGCTGAGCAGGACCATCTCTTTCCATGCCCACTGCTCATCACATGAGCAGACATTTTTTGCATCCTGCCACCCTACTTACAAGATAGGATGAGAATGAGACCCATGAGTATACAGATTCCAAATGGAGTAGTATAGTGGAAGGAAGTTCAGAAAGGAAATACCCTAAACTCTGAAAAGTGATTGCAATTATGATTATATCAAATGTCTTACTAACTATTCACTCAAGAGAAACAAACTTTAATAACTATATTAATTATGGATACTATTGGGATAGATGAAGATTTAATCAAGAATGGCATAAAAATTAAAATTTCTGCTCTCAGAAAATCTGGCAATCTAGAGCCCAGAATCAGATTCCCTTTTGAAAATAAAGCACACTTTACAAGTGAACACATCTGTATGTGAGAGTTGTCAGGCAAACAGGACACAAGTGGTAGATAAGCACACAGTTGACTGACCTAGAAGCATGCACTTTACCTGTTTTGGGACCATTGAAGTCCGTACCCAGAAACAAAGACTTGGAACTGGACTGGATTAAAGAAATTCTATCTTAAACTGGCATGTCTCTTAGTCTGCCATCTTTTTGCTCCTGCTCTTGTCATATATTTTGGTATTTAAATAGTTGGTTAGTTGAGTTTGACATCAGTTCCATTAAGCCTTGTTGTAGAGGGTATAGAACTAACCAGCTCGGGAACCAGCAGTTAGCGTAATGGCTATGCCGCTGGACTCCCACATAGACGACAGCGGTTCACGTCCCGGATTCGGTGGCTTAAAACTTACGCCGGGCACGTGTGTGTGCGTGCCCAAGATCCCGAGAGGAGAATGGAGGAGAAGGGATTGCGGCATGACCATCCCCTCTGGGGGATGATTTCTCGCTTTCTGTCTCTATGTCTTTCTCTGTCTGTCTGGTGAGCGCACGCACCCTATAGCGAAAACCTCTCAAAAAAAAAGAACTAACCAGCTCAACCTAAGTCACATGACAATTCCTATGACAAAACAGAACAGGGAACTGCAGTTGAATAGTTCTCACAGAACCATCTGTGGCAGGGTGTATCCCTGATCCATACTATCTGAGACTATGGAGTGGATCACGTTATAAAGATCCTGTTTGGGGGTGTCTGTCTGTGTGTCCATCTCTCTCTCTTTGTCTCTTTCACTTATGTAAGAAATAAGTAAACTAAAAAAAATTAATAAGTAAATTGAAATCAAAGGTAATTCTAATTATTTATATGGCAATATCAGGATGTTATTTTATAATTTTCATTTCCATTTTGTTAAAGTTTTGTCTTTATAGTGAATACATATTAAACATATTAGTTAATACAATGTAACTGATATTGGGGGATGGAGTAGGTATTTTCTCTCTTCTAATTTTTAATGTCTCACTGCAGAAAACTATGTCTTAAAACTTGGTACTTAAAGATTATTATTTATCCAAAACTTTACACTCAAAATTTAAAGCTCAAAAACTTATTCACTATGTCTCTATTACCATTTCAGTGACTGCACTCACCCATTTTATATGGATACACCTTACCGACTAGATCGTGATTTTTGAGAGCATAGTTTCTTTTTTTTTTTTTTTTTTTGAGAGGTTTTCGCTAGAGGGCCCGTGTGCTCGCCAGACAGACAGAGAGAGACAGAGAGATAGAAAGCAAGAAATCACCCCACAGTGGGGATGGCCACATCGCAATCCCATCTCCTCCATTCTCCTCTTGGGATCTTGGGCACGCACACACACACGTCCGGCGTGAGTTTAAGCCGCCGGGTCCAAGATTTGGACTGCGGTCAACCGCGTGGGAGTCCAGCGACATAGCCATTAGGCTAACTGCTGGTCCCAAGAGCATAGTTTCTTGAGAACAAGAACTAAATTCTATCAGTATTTGCATCCCCAGTGGCTAGTACAGTATCTGACACACAGTTTATCTAACATATTTTGAATAAATGAGTGAACAAAACATTTGACCACTCTCTGACTTCTGCCAGGTATCTTTTCTAGTTATTATAGCTATCTAACAAATTATTACAAAATTTAGTAGCTAAAAGCAAAGTGGTATTTAGTATGTTTTATTGTTTCTGTGGTTCAGAAATTAATGAGCAACTTACTGATTCTTTTGTAGCTTAGGATTTCCCATGATACTAGAGTCAGATGGTGGCTAAGGCTGAGCTCATCTCAACGTTTCTATGTTCCTTTGTCTGGTACATCATTGGGAATACTCAAACAGCTACGGATGGAATACTTGGGATTCCGTGAGCATCATGTTCTGAAAGAAAGACAGGTGGAAGCTGTATTGCCTTCAGTGATCTAGTTCAGGAGTCATGGGGCATGGTATCATCTCCACCCCTTTCTAGTCATTAAAAGTGAGTCCCTGGCCAACAGATGGCTTAACAGTTACATCACTGGACTTCCACATGGATAAACAAGATTCAAGTCTCAGATCTGAAAACTTGAAACTCACGCTGGGCATGTGTGCTCAAGAACCCAGGAGGAGAAAGGATGAAAAGGAATTGTGGTGTGGCCACCCCCTGGGGGAGATTTCTCCTTTCCCTCTCACTGTCTCTGTCTCTCTCTTTGGCAAGCGTGCATGCCCTAAGGCAAAAAAAAATGAGTAACAAAGATCAATGTATGTTAAGGTAAGAATTAGGCACTGCCTTCTATGGGAAGAATGTCAAAGAATTTGAACCTTTTGTGGGATTTCTTCCCAGAATTTTTTGGTCGTTCTCTATTTTATTATTATTATTATTATTTTAGTTTGCTAATTTTTCAGTTTACTTATTTCATGAGAGAGAGAAAAACATAAGCTCCCTAAATAGGTTCTCATGGTTTTACTCCTCTCAGCAGCCTTTCCTAGCCAGTCAAGATCATGGTACACATGGGTACCCAGTATATATAGACTGACCCAGGAACTGAACCCTGATCTTCATGTGGCTCCACATCACTGAGCCGCTTGCTATTGTTCTCATGGTTTTACTCCTCTCAGCAGCCTTTCCTGCCAAGTCAAGATCATGGTACACATGGGTACCCAGTATATATAGACTGACCCAGGAACTGAACCCTGATCTTCATGTGGCTCCACATGAAGCCACTTGCTATTGATGTACCACCATGGCTGGACCTGTTATAATTTTTAATTGACAGAAAATAACTGTACACATTTAAGAAGCACTACTGTGAGCAAAATGTAAAATAGAGTAGAGTAAGCATGATTGACATGAGAGAGGAAAGATAAGTTGCATACCAAAAGTTTTGTTTTCAAAACTGTATAGATAGAGGGACCAGTTATTAGCATAATGGCTATGTTGCTGAACTCCCATGTGCCGACCACGGTTCGAGTCCTGGACCCAGTGGCTTAAACTCACTCCGGGCGCATGTGTGTGCGTGCCCAATATCCTGAGAGGAGAATGGAGGAGAAGGGATTGCGGCGTGACCATCCCCCCTGGGGGGCGATTTCTCACTTTCTATCTCTCTCTCTCCCTCTGTCTTTCTGGCGAGCACATGTGCCTTATAGCAAAAACCTCTCCAAAAAAAAAAAAAAAAACTAGATAGATAGATATAGATATAAATATGTTTCAAGGCAAGAATATTTCATAAATAAAAATACTAAACTTTTGCCTTTCTTATTCCTGCACCTCCTCTAATGTTCCTCAAGGCAATGTGTTATCTCTGTCTGCTATAGGCAAGAGTATTTTGCAGAGGTGTGGAAAAGAGAGGCACCCAGATTAATATTTCAGCATGTTCTCTAACTATACAAATAGTACAGCCTACAAATGCCAAAGTCAAGGATTTTCTTACACCTATCACATTCATCGCTCATACTCACAAAGATACAACTATTATTTTTAAATAAGTCTATTTGAGAAAGATTTTAAAAATCATAAACATATAGATAATGATCATTAGCCATTTATGAATTAAAAGCTGCTTTAATAATAAAGTGGCTACATGTTCATCTTAGCACAATCACTTAAAATGTAATATTGCTTTATATTGTTATAGACTATTAAAAACAGTCTGTAAAGAATACTTGGAACCTGCTCTGACCTTCTGTCATAAAATCAATCTGAAAAATAAGCAAAACAAAACTAAAATCACAGAACCTTTAGCAATATCAGAAATCAAAGACTGATTTATAACAATTAAGTACTTTTTTTTCTTGCTTGCAGAGTGTTATAAACTACAGAGCCATCGTAGAAAAATATATTGAAATAATAGTTTTTCCCCAACTCTCACACTCCACCCTACTTCATACTTTGTAAGTTCTTGTCTTGGACACGTGAGGTACTTTAAAAGCATAAAGAACCTAAATTCAAAGGTGCTTGTGTCTTAAAAAATCTTTAGTCTTCAGACTAGATAAAACTAAGAGAATGAAAGTGAATGAACCTGTGTGCTTTCCAGCCTGCAAATAGGTAACAAGAGAAAAGGGGAAGGGTTTGAAGCAAAGAGAACTGAAAATGAATACTCCAAGTTGGAAAGGGAAAGAAGGTCTGTGGGTAGGGTTATGAGAGTGACAAGGGGGCCTCCCAGATGGCACCTTGTTTTGATAACACATTGATAAGGGAACAGAAAATAGAGAGAATGGCTATTTCATATACACTGGAGTCAGGTTCCTTGGATAGTGTTTCAATATCATCAAATATTTTATACCACTCATGTAGAATGTGTCAAAATGTAATATATTTTTTAAATAATTATTTTGAAAAAAATAATTCTCATACAAATAAATAGGGAGAATATGCCAAAGTTTATATCTTAACTCATTAACGAAGTATCATCAGGATGACAAAGCAGGTTCAAAAAGAAAGAAAAATAACAAAACTCATAAATACATAATCAATTAAAAAGAAATATAGGACTGATTCCAGGCCCTGGGGGTTAAGGCAACTGGATCTCACAAGGCAATCATGCAGTTTGAGTCCCAGACATAGTAGCCTAAGAAACACATTGAGGACACATGTGTATATGCCGAAAACCCCAAAGTGAGTAAAAGATGGGAGAAAAGAGATTGTTCTCTCTCCATTGTAGTTATAAGGCAAGAGGAGGCAAGAAGTGAGGCAGCCTGATCACCTTTCAATATTCTTGACTGCAAAGGTCTTCTGTAAGCATCAAAAGAAAAGCTTTCATAGCATTTGGCAAAACATAACCAATGAAGCTCAGACTTCTTGTCTTTTTTTTTTTTTTTTTAAGAGAGATTTTTGCTATAGGGTGAATGCAATCTGAGGAGAAACAGAGAGACAGAAAGTGAGAAATCACCCCCTAAGGAGAAGACCATACCACAATCCCTTTTCCATTATCTTCTCAGGATTTAGGGCACGCATACACGCACCCCCGGTGTGAGTTTTAAGTCACCAGGTCTGTAACTTGAACTGCAGTCAACTATGTGGAAATCCAGCAAAGTAACCATTATGCCATCTGCTGGTCTCTCAGACTTCTTGTTCTTTTTAGAAGTGCTTCTTCAGGTTTTATGTTAATTTGTTTGTTTTCGCTATAAGGGCACATGCACACACTGACGAGAGACAGAAAAGAGAGAAAAAGTGAGAAATTGGCCTGCCTCTCCTCCCCGCAAGAAGAATGGTCACATTGCAATCGCTTTTCCTCCATTCTCTTCTTGGGATTTTTGAGTACACACACATGCCCAGCGTGTATTTCAAACCACTGGGTTCAGGACTCACAGTAGGCCATGTGGGACCCAGTCACTTTAACCACCATGCCACTGACTTGCCCCTCATCTGCTCATTTTAAAAATTAGGTTACTTAATTGTGGCTAAGTTGTTTGAGTGTCTGTATATTCTTGTTATTAATTCCTTGTCACATGTATACTATGCAAATATTTTTCTGCAATTTTAGGGTTGTCTCTTCACTCTGTTGATAGTTTTCTTTGCTATGCAGAAGCTTCTTAGTTTGACATAGTCCCATTTGTCTATTTTTGGTTTTGTTACCTGTGTTTTTGACATTTTATTAATGAACTCTATGCAGATATCAATGTCCTGAAGTGTTTTTTCTATGTGTTTTCCTAATAGTTTCATAATTTCAGGTTTTATGTGTAAAAGCAAACCCATTTGGAAGTTTTTGTCTTTGTACTTTTTAATATACAGTGAGAGATAAGGGTCTAGCTTCATTCTTTTACATATGGTTCTCCAATATTCCCAGCACCATCTATTAAAGAGAACATCCCTAGTGGAAGTTCTCAACATTTTTGCTGAACAATTTATTTCTGAACACTCTGTTCTGTTTCATTGGTCTGTGTGTCTGCTTTCTTGGTCACTACTATGCTGTTTTTGTTACAATAGCTTTGTAGGATAATTTGAAATTCAGTAGTACAATACCTCTAACTACATCCTTTCCACTCAGGATTGCTTTATCTATTTGGGGTGGTTTATGATTCCACACAGATTTTATTATTGTTGTTTCTATTTCTCGAAGTCATTGGTATTTGGGTACTATATTGACTATTTCAGTTACTTTAGGCTATATAGATATTTGAACAATATTGATTCCTCCAATCTATTAATATAGGATTTCTTTCTATTTTTTGTATTGCTCTTTTCAATTTCCTTCATCAGTGTTTTAAAGTATTCATTGTAGACATTTTTTTATGTCTTTGCTTAAATTTATTCATAGTTATTTTATTTTCTTTGATTATAAATAGGATTGCTTTTTATTAAATTTCCTTTTTTGCTACTTTTTTATTAGTGTATAAGAATGCTATGAATTTTGGAGATTGCTACTGAACTTAAGCAGTGAAATATTACTTTCAGGGATGAAAAAATGAAGATTTTCTACTGAGCTTTTATCTTCCAGCTTCACTTCTAGAGTAGTAGGGCAAACTCTGGCGAGAAACAGGAAGGACGAGAGATTGCAGATCACCTCCTCCTGCATGCCTCTGAATGCTCAGATTGTAATTCAAGAACTAGGAAGAAATGTACAACCCATCAGTTGATCAGAAATCACCATAGGGGCACAAGAAACTTAAGATTAAGAAAGCAAGAAAACACCTCTCTTAAAATAATTATTAAAAAAAAAAAAGTTGGGGAATGGCAGGTGGCATAGTGATTATGGCATTGGACTCCCACTTGGCCAACAGCAGTTCAAGTTTCAGACCTAGTGGCTTGCTTTCTCTTTTTCCCTCTCTCTCTCTCACTCTGTCCCTCTCTGGTGAAATTAAAATAAATAAATAAATAAAGTTGCATAAAATAATTATTTTAAAAAATATTTTTAACAAAGAAAATAAGTCTCCTCTGAGGGAAAAAAATAACTCCTCCTCAT